GAACAAAACACCGCTCCTCTTACTCAAAGCAGGCTGGTATTTCTCACAGAAACTGGGGTTCCAGGAAGGAACTGATTAAAGGGACTCAAGTTTTTCTTGTTTGAAAGATGCATCAGCTTACCGTGTCTTCCCGATCTGACTCGCAGTCGGTTCTTCCGCGGCGATCTCGAGCAGACTCTCTCTCACGTGTCAGTACAGTGCAGGGAGTCAGGGGTGCCTGGCCAGGCTGTCTGTAGCCGACATTCCTTTAGGCGGTCTCCCTCGAGCCCACCACGTTGGGCGCCAGTTGCCCCAGCCCGCGGGGCTTCAACATTGGGGGGTCGGGAGAATAACCTAAAGGAATGAAACAAACAAGGAATGCAAGGAAATGGAGGCAAGACAAGGTTCTGATCAAGCCTCAAAATTTTATTGAAAGCAGCAGGCATATATACTAGTAGTTGGGAGAGGGGAGGTGAGGAGAAGGGAAGTGCTGGGCAGACGCTAATTGGTGTTGTTAGGTGGATGTTATAGCTAGGGAGGGTTATCGTCAAAGAGGGGCAGAGGGGGTTGTCTGAGAAGGCATGTGGTTAACATTTCCCAGGACTAACATCTGTAGTAAATATTTCTCAAGGCTGACTTGACCTGGGTCACAAAGTTGTTTTTCTACATTCTTTAACTAAGTGCTAACTTATAGAAACTTACAGAAAACCATAAAGCTGTTTTTTCTCAAGGCCATAAAGGTTTGCAGGAAACCTTAAAGCTGTTTTTTCTCAAGGCCATAAAGATGTTTTACTTCTGGCCTTTTGGCTCCCAACACTATGATATATATATTTCTTTGTACTATGCCAGTAGGGAACCCCAGAATCTGAGCTTTTGATAATGTTCACGTCTCATCTCATGAAACAAATATACTTCACATTATTGAACTCTTCTTAAAGGAATCAATATTAACACAGAACTTCCAATGTGGTCTGGCAAGAAAAGCAAATTTTTGGATCGTTATCGGCTCCTTCTATAAAGTAGGTGGTAAGACACATTACCTTGGAAGGTTAGGGAATTGGAAGAGAACATATTATTACAATTTTAAGAAATTTTTATTTAATAACCACATAATTAGAAAAAGCATTTCATTACAGCAGCAGTGACATAGTCAATAGCAGTTTTCAGATGCATCTCTTTCAAAACTGGCTGTAAATTTTTAGGTTCACAATTGAATTAGTACAGTTATACAATATTGTACTCAGTATAAATCCTGTAAGACATAAAATTGAATGACGTTTTAAACATTAAAAAAGATCTCCATTTCATTATTAAAATATACTTTTTCATACAGAAAAAACGGTTTCTATATACTTTTTCTGTATACTTTTTCATAAGAAAAACTTATTTTTAATGCAACTAACACTTAGATGTTTGCACATGCATCTCTAATCTCTATATATCTGATTATTACTAGTCACAGTCGATTACTTTCTGAGATCCTTGGCACCTGAGCATGGATATAAAGTCATCAGGTAGATTTCAATGGTAATGTTTTTCACATCTAATTAACATGAAGCAAATTTTTATGCTTCTTCCTCAAATATGACTCACTATTAAAATTTATTTTTTTGTCTATTTCATACAGAACATCCTAAACAATCTTATTCATATATATACCCACATCCCAAGTGACACCAACCCATGCCCCCTGCTGGAGCTCATTTACTGTCATCCCTGTTACTGTCTACTGTGTTGTCAGTGCCCCTGGCCATTCCCCAGTGCTTATCCATCCGCTGAGTCTAGCCAGCCTATTTATAGTTCCTTGTTTTAGGAAGATCAGCCCTTCCTCATCCAGCAGCAAGCTGTTGCCAAAATTCCTTTAGATAAGATTGGGGTCTTCTTTCCCAGTTCTATGCTGGGTCACTGTCTGGTAGTCTCTTGGGCCACCCTGGCCAACAACTCAAAGGAAGGTATCTCCTTTCTGGCATTGTTTCTTATTATGCAGCCTTTAGCTATACACATAGACTCTTAAAGAATTATACTGATTTCTTTAATCTTTGGTTATACTTTCCTTTTGGGTGATTAAGATCATGCAGTTGGCCCAGATAAACCAATTTATTTTTACTCCTAAGGTCTTTTGAGGATCTGGTCCTCAGGGGTCACATGGGCTTACAAGGAGCCCCTGGCTCCTTTCCTCTACCAGTTCCATCTATGTGAAGATAAGTCAAAGGTCCTGCTCAATAAAGGATGGCTTCACTTGGCAGCATGGAGGAAATGTTTCCTCTGTGTTGCCCCTCCTCTTTGTAGACTGGACACTGGTGGAGTCCATCTGGTGGAGTGTCCATGGTTTCCATTTCCTTGATCAAGAGGACAAGTGACTAACCACAGTTATAGGACATTTTGAGAGATGCTCCATAGTCCCCTGGAACTTGGCCAACCTTGGAAGAATCAAAAACTGTCCTTTAACTCCTTCGGACCAAATTAGTATAGGCCTCAAAGTATGGCTGTTAAACATCCAAGAAGGTTAGTTCCACCACTCTAGTACTTTCAATTACCATGTCCTATGTAGATAAAGCTTGGGCAAAAGACCGAATGTTCTCAGATAAACCTTGACTAGACATATATTATGTTGCTTGAACTAGTTGTATGTATAATTTGTCAGTAAGTCAGTAGGTTGTTGGATTAATATGGTTCCCTCTGTTTCTTTTTTTAAACTAGCTAGGCATTATCTCTCACATTGTCTAACCCTTCCAACATGGTTTCCCCATTTAAAGTGCCCCCCATTGTCCCCAGTTATCTCTCAACACCTTTCTCCTATGGTCCCACCTCTCTTCAGCTCCTTCTTTTCCTTTATCCCCAAGGTTCCTTGTATAACCCACCCCCTTAAAACAACCCCATTTTTATCCATATCTCTGTTATTAACACCTGTTTCCTACTGTTCTCTTTCAGAGTCTTTCTTTTCCTTTACCTCCCTGGTTCCTCTTCATTATCCTGGTTCCTATAGTTATGTCTGGATACATACTTATCAGGATTTGGTTCTAGGATCCACATATGAGAACATATGTCTTTTTGTTTTCCCGAGTCTGTGTTACTTTGCTTAGTATAATAGTTTCTAGTTCCATCCATTTACCTGCAAATTTCATGATTTCATCTTTCTTTACTAGTGAGTAAAACTGCATCATATAAATGAACCACATTTTCATTACCCACTCGTTAGTTGAGGGACACTTAGGTTGCTTCCATCTCTTAGCTATTGTGAAAAGAGCAGCAACAAACATGGATGTACAAGTGTCTCTGCAATAAAATGAGTTCTTTGGGTATATGCCAAGGAGTGATATAACTGGGACAAATGGTAGGCTCATTTGGAGTTTTTTAAGAGTTCTCTACACTGATAGGGGTTGAACAAGTTTGCAGCCCCACCAGCAGTGCATGAACATTTCCCTTTCTCCACATCCTCTCCAACATTTGGTATCATTTGTTCTCTTGATCTTAGGCAGTCTGACTGGGGTAAGATGAAATCTTTACCTAGTTTTACTTTGCATTCCCCTAATTACTAATGATGTTGAACACCTTTTAAGATGCTTCTTAGCCATCTTTATTTCTTCTTTTGAGAACTCTCTGTTCAGCTCCTGAGCCCATCTTTTAATTGGGTTACTTCCTTTCTTGAGTCTTTAATTCATTATCTATTCTGGATGTTAAACCTCTGTCAGATGTGTTGCTGGTGAAGATTTTCTCCCATTCTGTGGGTTTTTAATTCACTTCCTTGGTTGCTTCTTTTGATGTACAAAAACTGTTTAGTTTAATGAGGTCCCATTTGTTGATTCTTGACCTTGTTTCCTAAGCAATTGGTATCCGATTTAGAAGATCCTTTCCTACACCTATATCTTGTAGGTTATTGCCAATGCTTCCTTCTAACAGTTTCAGAGTTTCAGGCTTCACATTGAGGTCTTTGATCCATTTGGAGTTGACTTTTGTGCAAGGTGAAAGACAGGGGTTTAGTTACTTTATGGGATTTATGATTATATTGCTATCCTAATGAGACTCCTGGCTCATCACACATTCTGTCAGTATGGGTTAATAGGTTGTCTTCCGTGTGTTCCCCTCTGGCACACCGCTACCTCTCACTGGAGTTCATACCGTCTGTCTTTTGCGTTAAGGCCAAGTATGTAAAATCAGTCCAACTCGACTTTTCACAGGGATTGTTCCAGTCAGGTAGTCGCAGAGATGGACGGGGGAGGGGAAGATGAGGCTCCTCCAGGTGGGTGGTGAAGGCCAGGAGCCAGGGACAGAAGCGGTGTTCGGAGTGGCCCAGTGCAGAGCAAAGCCGGCCTACAAGAACAGAAGGGGCAGGGCCTGCGGCGTCGCAGGGTGGGGCCAAGTCTGCGTGCCAAGCGCGTGGGGAGCCTACGTGGCGTGCGGACGTTGACGGCGCTGCGGGTGACGTGTGGCCTGCGTCTGCCCTGCCGGTTCCTGTGAGCAGGTCCGCGGGTCGGTCTGTGCAGTGCAGCACTCTGCGGAGCTCTGCCCGGAAGCGACGCCTCTGGCCTGGGCTGCCCAGCGGGGCGGGTCTGGTCCCTAGACAGAAGAGGAAGCAAAATCGCGAGCCCCGAGCCTCGGACCGGGTGGCTTACAGGCGGTCGGGCTGAGGTAAGCAGCCCGGAAGGCAGGCTGCGGGAGGCGGGGCTGAGGGGATCCGCGGGGGCCGGTGGGCGGCGGGGCGGGGCGGGGCCTGCGCTGGCTTCCCGGGTGGAGGTGGCGGTGGGGACGGAAGGAACTCCAGCGGTGGTCGCCCACGTGTGAAGACACGGCGTGGCCACGTGGCAACATTTTTATGTTTGTGCGCAACTTTTTTCATATTTTTCTGCTACGAAGCCGTGGTGACATAGTTTTCTGGCACAGGTTTTTGGATGGTCGATCCACCCGACTCCACCGAAAGGTAACTGAGTCGCGGAATCTAGAATGTAAATTTGAAGTAAGTAAGGGGATGGGGGGGTGGGGCGTGTGTGTTTATGCGCCTGCGCTAGGGAGATACTATGGGTAGATGGGGTGGTTATAAGAGGGATGCAGTGAGCTCATGGATTTTTCTTTGGTTTAAGAAAAGCATAGCCTTTGCTAACCTTATGGTATCACAAGTGCAATTGAAATCGATAATCCTTTTCTTTCTGTCCCTGGGTTAAAATTACATCGAATAGCTAATAATCTCATCATCGTCTGCAGATTTTAATAAACCAAAATATGTTTTTTCCTGATTTCCAGAGTTTTATCAAAAGTTCAAACTTTGGCTTCTGATACTAGTTTGACACTCCAGTTCATAGCAATGAAACATAGCATGTTTCATTTTTAATAACGATCATAATTCTAGTATTGCATTAGGAAAATGCTGTGCAGAGATGCCAATTAAGTGTAGGTTGATTTACAACCATTTGATGACAGAGTTTTAAAAATCCTTTTGAACAGTTTTATTTCATGGTTAATCCCTCTCCCTCCCTCTCTCCTTCTGGAGGTTAGAACATAGAAAGTTTCTCTGTGGACATGGAACTTTGTATGGTCCCCTAACACCCTTTTAAGAGAGAATCCTAAAGCTCACAATTGGGAATCAGTTTCTATTAGAAAAAGTTTTTGTTTTTCTAATATTTACAATGGATTGATTGATATGTGTGGTATGACTTGTAATTTGTGAAACACTGTCCCTGCAGAGATAGTTTGTATAAACTTTTTCAGTAATCTAGTACAGTTTTTAACTCTGAGAACATGTCTCTGAAGTTGAAATTTTTGCAAACGTGGAGCTTTCAGGAAGAAAAAGTGAAGGAGGTTGGAAGGTGTTGGTTTAACATACCTAATCCGAAAATTCCAAATCTAAAATGCTCCCTACAAAGTCAGAAGTGAAAAATCCCACATCATGGAACTTTAATCATAGGCAAAATCATTTAAAATACTGAATAAAATCAGTTGCTGACTTGTATATAAAGTATATGTGAAGGATAAATGAATTTTGTTTTTAAATGTGGGTCCTGTCACCAACATATCTCCTCCACTGCATGCAGATATTCTAAAATCCCAAAACCTCAAACTTGGAGCACTTTGGTTTCAAACATTTCAGTTAAAGATTTCTCGGTTTGTACTTAATACATAGATTAACTATAGCAAGCACACATTATAATGTAAAGCTAATCAAAATAGGCATTGAGTCCTCTTGCATAAATTTTGCCTAGTCTGATAGTATGAAATGCATGAAATGTAACGTGTTATTTCAGTTCTTTTTGCATATAGGTAAGCAAGTGAATTTGAGAAATTGTTTGGCTATATTTTTCTGTTTGCTGTTTTACAAGTTTTATTTCTGATATCTTTTACTGTGATTCAGACATAATTCAGTTTAATTCATGTTTGAGGATTCTGCTTAGGTTTTCTTTTTATCCTCCATTTTAAAAGTTTAGAAATATTTTGCAATTCTTTTTAACTTGCTCATCAGAAAATGCAATTCCTTTTGGAGAATGAATCACAGAAGTGAAGAAAGACTAACCAAAATTTAACAAAAACAGAATGGTAAATGGTAATCTAACTTAATTTGTAAAGGTTCCCCAAGAGAACACTCCTTTAATTTTAGTATTCAGGATGCAGGTGGGTATCTGAATTCCAGGCAGCTGGTCTACGTATCCAGTTCTAGGCCAGCCAGGGCTGTATAGTGAGAGCTTGTCTCAAAATACAACAACAACAAAAACTAGCAAAAACACAGAGAAGAGACAAAATAATATGGAGAACTGAATTCAAATGGATTTCTTGTGTAATGATAGAATAACTTGTCCAGTATAAATTTTGTTCCTGCTTTTGTTAAGTTTTGGCTAGTCTCCAGTCACTCCTGTGACTGACCCTCCAAAGACAATGTTTAGGAGTTGCATTCATTTTCAGAGATTTGTATTGGAGTGGAAAATCAGGCTGGAATTTAGTGAGGACTATAATTAATACTAATAATAAACTTATGGTTAATAGGCATTCTTATATGTTTTAATTAGAGGATGGCTTTGTTAGTGAATATTTGTATTTGGAGAAGAGAAAGCCCACACTATTAATGACTAAATCTCACATTGGCAAAGTTCTGGAACAGTTTCTGGGGATGGTTACAGGAATATGCTATAATGTATCCAGTTCATATTGTGGAGAACTTAATAAATCTATGACCCCAAAACTCTTTAATTTTGTGTGACACCTGTTCTATTAAATTTGAACTTCAAAAGAAGGATTATGAGGTAGTTAGGGAAGCAATTGCTAATGTTTAGCATTTTCAGAGATTGCTAGGTCGTTTTAAATTAAGGGAATGGGTAGGAAGACACTTTTCAGTAGTTAGTAAATATGGTATATGAAATTGATGGTAGAAAATGCAAATTCTCTTCCAAGAGAAGAAATTCTTGCTTACTGCTGAGACTGCTTCTGTTTCTAGACTAGTCAGATGTGAAAATATTTCATGTATAAATAGGAATAAATGTGCCTTTTATGTTGATTTAAGAAATTTGACTACAAAATTCTACGTGTTTTCAAGAAGAAATTAACATGGGCAGCTACCAACCATCTGAAACTCCAGTTCCAGGGGATCCAGTGCCTTCTTCTGGCCTCCATGGGGCAGGACATGGATATGGTACATTTACATACATGCAAGCAAAATACTCATACACATAAAATAAAAATAAATAATCTTGGATACACATAAAATAAAAATAAATAATCTTGGCCGGGCATGGGGCTGCATGCCTTTAATCCCAGCGCCCTGGCGGCAGAGGCAGGTGGATCTCTGTGAGTTCTAGGCCAGCCTGGTCTACATAATGAGTGGGCTGCAGGGAGACGCTGACTCAAATAAATAAATAAATAAATAAATAAATAAATAAATCTCAAAAAGACAAATAATTAATTAATTAAAAAAAATGCATCTTGGGCTGAAACTATTGCTCATTGGTAGAATGCTTGTCAAACATGAGCAAGGTCCAGGGGTTCAATCCCAAGTAACATTCCAAGAGGCATACCAAACCCTCTAGCTCCATGTTTGATATTTGGCGCTTTAGTTTCAAAGGCCTTATGTAACTCTGACATAGCTTCTCCTGAGCCAGCAGCCTGGTCCTGCTCCCTATATGTAGCTGTCCTTGGCAGAGTTCTCATAGCTCTGACATCTTCAGCATGTTGGGATCTCCATTGCAACTCGGTTACCTTCACAGCTTCATGCAGTGCCTTCTAGGGCCTTCATGCAGAGACTCCCCTGAGACACACTGCCTGGCGTCAGTGGCTAATGCAGAAGAGGAAGAATCCATGACCCCCTCCTTCACTTCTGCATCTTTCATGTCTTCAGAGTAAGTACCGCCTTCAAACTTTGTAATAACTCAGTTTTTTTTTAAGTTGGATCCTCAACTCACTGAATCAATGAGGTCTTGCCTCAAATCAATAAACTAAGCTGTCCCTGCACCCCCATTTTAATTCCCGAAGTGTAGAAGTAGTGTTTCTTGCTGTTCCACACTAGCTTATAGTTTGCTGGTCTGTGCTGAGGAACTCAATAAATATTTATTGACTGTTGTACATTCAGAGCATTGGACTGTCTACAGATGATAATTTAGATTACTCCTTACCACCTCAATCAACAAAGCACAGACCAGACAATACTAATAGTTTTACAAATTCAGTCTTTAAGAATGCCCTATACATTTTCATATATTTTATTTTCCTCTATGGCTTTATTTATTTATTTATTTATTTATTTATTTATTTATTTATTTATTTTTGAAACAGGGTCTACCTGTAGCCCCAGCTGGCCTGGAACTCACTATATAGACCGGGCTGGCCTGGAACTCACAGAAATCTGCCTCCAGAGTGCTGGGATTAAAGGCATGCACCCCCATGGGCAGCCAAGATTATTTATTTTTATTTTATGTGTATAAGTGTTTTGCCTGCATGTATGTAAATGCACCACATGCATATCCTACCACATGCATGTCCTGCCCCATGGAGGCCAGAAGAGCGCATTGAATCCCCTGGAACTGGAGTTACAGATGGTTGTTAGCTGCCCACGTGGGTCCTGAGAACTGAATCTAGGTCCTCTGCAAAAGCAACCATTACTCTTACATTGAGCCAACTCTCCAGCCCCATTAAAAAGTTAAAAAGAAATTGTGTGTATGAGTGTTTTACCTGCATTTATGTAAATGCACTCACCCATGCATGCAATAAAGAATCTCAGATGGAATTTTTTCATTTGAAACAGGGTCTGCCTGTTAGTCCCAGCTGGCCTGCAACTCACTATGTAGACCAGACAGGCCTCAGTCTCACTGAGATCTGCTTGCCCCTGCCTCCAGAGTGCTGGGATTAAAGGCCTGCACAACCATGCCTGGCATCTGGCTTATATTTTTTTAAAGAGGGGGCTAAATATGATTAAGATATATTGTATAAAATCCACAAAAATGCAATTAAAATGTATTTTATAAAGATAGGAAAAAATTAATGCTGGATTAAATGTTAGAATAAGGAACATTTTGGTAGCATTTCCTCTTTCAGCTAGCCTTGAGAATTAAAGAATTAATTAAATCCTGCTGTTTGACTTGGCAGGATTGCCATCTTGAAGGTACTCCTTTATCCTAAGTACTGCACATGAGTTCGTCTTGTTTTCCTTTTTCTATTTAAACTATTAATAAGTTGGTACCTTCAAAACTGGAAATTCTCTATGGATTATTGTCTCAGATTAAGAAGACTTAGTAGGGCTAGGGAAATGCAGTTTCTGCTCAGCACCCATCTTAGGCATTTCACAGCTGCCTGTAACTTCAGCTCCAGGGGCTGTGATGACTTCTTCTGGCTGCCTTGAGCAGTCACATCCACGTGGCATAAACACAGACACAAACACATTACACATGAGAAGAAAAAAAAAATCTTAAAAAAAGAAAGCATAGTATTTGCTAAGAGTAAAGGAAGACAGAGTTTTTCTAAAATGTTTAAATATATTACCAA